TCCCGACATCAATTGCTTGTACTTTTTTAGTGGAACTTGTTTAAGTAGCCCAAAAACTACATGAAACATGGAATTAGTGTATGTGCAAAAGTAAGTCCAAATCCCCCTGAGCAGATGCGAGAGACTGGTTAGAGGTTACAGAAGACGTTTGGTTGAAGTAATGGCTGCAAAAGGAGGAGCCACAAGCTACTAATGGAAGGGTTCACATACTTTTGCACATGTTACATTTTCAGTGTTTGTGAAATAAACCACATTTGTTGAATTACATAATGGAAAAATATCTCTTTTTGTGTGTGTGTCCAGTATTTGGAAAGTGTGCTTTACAAATTAGGATTTGGATGTCTGTTAAATAAGGTTCTTTTAATGTTTTTTACAAAAACAGTGACCATGTCTGGAAGGTTCACATACTTTCAAGCAGCACTGTATATGCTCATAAATTACATGTAGAATATACAGTAAACAAACTAATCTGCAATGACAGGGAAGCTGTGGCTTGTGTTTGTGGAGTAATCAAATCAAAATCATCATTAGGCTGTCAGGCAATGAGTGACGTCTGCCGCAGGTATGATGGGATGACGGACAGCTGCAGTAAAGGCAGTGAGGAGAATAACAGTAACGTTAGTAATGGTATGATGGCATCAGAAAGGACTTATCCCTAAAACTCAAGAAGAAAAACGCTCACAGGAAAAAGGTAAGGCATTCTTTGATGATGCAGAGTCACTTGTGGGATGGAGGGGGTAGCTATAATGTTAGCCAATTTTTGAGCAAGTTTGCTACTTTTGTCCTGCTGGCTAGCTCGGCTAGCCTCCGCTAAATTGAGGAGTTTGATTGAGTGTTTGTATGCAAATGAACCCAGCTTTATAGTGTTTGCTCTTCAGCTCGTTAACATTACACTTCCGGAGGGAGGGGGTGTTGTTGGGCAAATGTCTGCGATGTCTGCGATATCATTGTCAGGTGGGTGTCGCCTCTCAGTCATAGACCTCCTATGCTGTTAAATATTTACCACAGGAACATTGCTTTAGGATTGTTTTTATGATGATTGTATTAAGTTTAGTGTGTTGTCATTTTATAGGCCTATGATGTGAAGTTTGCTTTATAACTAAAACGTCATTCAGGTGGATATTAAAACGTAGTAGTAGCAGTAGTAATAGTAGTAGTAGTAGTATCAGTAGTAACAGTGGATTATTCATATAGCACTATGAATTTTGAATGATCAATGTGTTAAGAAAGATTGTCCTATTCTCTCTCCTATTGTATTTTGTATATATTTTGTGGTTGGTTGACTCTGCTGACTTAATTGCAGTCTTTGTCACATTTATTACAATATTTATTGTGACACTGTAGTTTGCTAATTTGAACAAACCTGCCTCTATTCCTACAATAGACTTGAGTTTTTGATGTAGTATTTTTTTATTCAAAAGAACCATAATAACACAAATTTAAAAAAAAAATTAAAAAAATTAAAAATTTAATTTAATTTATATTATATAGGACCAGTACTTCTGCCCTCAGTAAGAATACAAGGTAAGACCATATCATCAGTCAGATACAAGTTGTCCACTTTGTAATACCCTGCAGAAATAGGTAAAAATATTCCCTCTATATCATATAGTGCTCATCACTAATTTACCATTGTTTTTATTACTTTAAAGAGTACAATGTGCAGATGAAAGCAGAAAAAGGCTGAAAGTGACAACTTTGAAATTGGGTGCATGCTTTAAAGGGACACTGTATATTTCAATTATAGTTTTCTATATATATATATATATATATAGTATATATAAACAGATTATGAATTTCTGTATCACTGCAACGTAACTGAAATTATATAATATGAATATTTGCTTATGATCAATTTTGCTTGGTAACCCAAGGAGCTTTGTCTTTACAGGTGTAATTCTGAAATATTTTGGAGCTTCAGTCCAAGCAGAGCCAGCCAATTTATTTATGTCTTTATTCTTTTAGGTCAAAGGGGAGAGAATTTTATGTTGAGTTATGTTTCATGTTTAAGAACTTTTTTCTCAGAAATAAACATTTTTGAGGAAAATCTGTTACATTTATTGACGTAGAGGAGCCTTATTGTTTACCTTTTATTATCATTTTCTCTAGGTTTTAATTGCTTGGGTCAACTTGAGATGTTTAATTTTAATTTGAGAGAGTTTTTCACAAATCTATCCTGTTATCCTCTTAAAGTGTAACAGATTGATGCATCTCCACTGATCATCTTAAAGGGTTTGGAGTCCCCCCAACGTAGTTTAACAAAATAGGGGCCCCCAAAAAGCTATACATGGCCCTGGTTTCAGACCAGTATTACAGAGTCTATCACAGACCAGTATTACAGTCTAAAATCTGTGTGTTCATTCTGTTCTGATCATTTCCGATGCTTCAGTAAAGAGAAACTTCAGCCTCATGTGTTTTATTTTATTTATATATTTTTTATAATCATTTGTTGTGACGTGATATATGACGTTATAAAACTCTGTAGTTACGGAATGACAGTACAGCAGTATTGACGCCGGCTGGCCGAACATGAGCGGCACACGCCAGAGTTTTAATGGAGCGAACCCATACCCAATTGGCGCAAGTGTGTGTGACGTTCACGGAAGTAAACGGAGTAACGTTGTCCGACCGATTTGACACAAGGTGAGAGTTTTTCTCTTATTTTACTCCAAGTGAGGAACAACGACCAGTGTTAAAACCGTAACGTCCAAAACTAGACAGTCATACGTTAGAGGTCACGGCACGTGAGCCATGGAAACGTCATCAGTCAGCTGCAGTAAGACTGGTTTCTGTGGGTCTGTGAAGCCTCTCAGATGTAAATGCTGCAGCTCTGTAAGACCAGGGCGGAGGGATGTTCTTAACGTTGGTTGAGGTGTGTTATGTCGGACGGCGGATGTGGACAGTTGTGTATGTGTGCGCGTGCTCCTTTTGGACATACACATACACAGGAAAGTTTTACTGCAAAACATTTACTTCATGTATTCACTTATTTATATCAGGACTTGTGTCGGGTTTTCTCTTGTTATCCGCAGATATTTTACATTAGATTTTATTATTATCAATCTGAGACTAAAACCGTTAAATACAAATTCAGTTGTAACGTGCTGTGAAGCTTCTCGTCACCTGTCACTCTCCGAATCCTTCTGCCAGAGTTTCCTGCTGCTCATAAACTGCTCAAACATTAACTAATATTTGTCTAGATTTTTACCTCATTTCAGAACATATGATTCCTACATGTTCCTGTGATGATGAATGTTTGGGCTGATTTCAGATCAGCTGAGCTGGTGTCCTAGTTTACCGTTAGGGGACACGTTAGAAATATAGCTGTCAGAAAACTCCTGACACCTACAGGTTGATATAATATTAGTTGACTGATGTTGGTTAAATCCAGGAAAGATGTTTTAATTCTAAAACATTGACCAGACTTACATTTACCAAATCAACCAGTCACTCTTCATCCTGCTAGTCTTCTCTGGATGCAGAATGTTTTTTAATGTAATTTTGCAGGTAAAGGTGAACAGCACAGCCTCTGACCCAGTTTTCCAGCAGTTAACTCACATACATCATTATGAAAACAGGATGTAGTGGTTTGTCTTCCACTGGTGCACCATGGGAAAGCGGTTTATACAGACAAAAGAAGAAGAACAAAGGAATTGTGTTTCCTGCTTCCTTTTTTGTTCTGGTAAAAAAAAAACAATATAGGCCCACCCCAATGCATGCTGGTCCTATACCTGCCAGGTGCTCATAGTGCCCACAATAAATAACAGAATAGTTAGCCAAACTGAACATGATGATGAAAAACAAAAAAAAAACAAGGAAACAGTAAAGTGAAAATGCAGGTGCACAGAATATAAACCGTTGCCTCAGATTACAAATGGCCACCAATGCACATCTATGGAGACAGAACTGAAACAAACGTCACTGAGCTCAGCTTTTTCATTTCTCCAGTTCCACTGAAGATGAGGATGAAGTTTGTTTCGGGCCTGATGTGAACCGCTCACAAAGTGTTTCTGGATCTGAAACAAACCGAAATAGAAAACAAAGCCGGTGGGACTAAACCCTGTAAGTACATTAACATACAGTAACTCATAAATGCTTCAGACTAAAATTATATCAGCTTATGTGAAATACAATGCACTGTGGGGACTGGTAACGTTGGCTTTAACTGCAACTTCAAAAACAGTCATATAAGAATGAAAAACCTCGTAGGCAGAAATGATTCATCTACATTTATTTTCAAAGGCACTTTGAATGATTATCATGTATTAATATTTACATTTTCCAACATCTACATCTACAGTTTGTTCTGTTTTGTTCAAATTTATTTATGTTTATTCTCATTATTCAGAGATGGTGACTTCCTTATGAAGTGTACATCACAGTTAATCTACAACTGTTTTCAGATCTGATCTGAGTTATTACTCTGCAAACTGTAGTAAGAGTTTGAAGTACCTGAGCAGCCTCTGTTAGCTGTGTGTTACAGTCACAGCTGCAGCTCCAGTTATTGACTGTGGGTGATCAGCTGGCCAAACTTATCAGAACTAACTTCCAGTTGTTTTTAGAACACGGACATAAACCTGTCTCTTTCATGCAGTATCTTTGCTTCAAAACCTCTCTTATCTTGCCTCTTAAACTTCATGATTTGAAAACCTCTGCATCAGACCACAGACTTGTGTTTCAGCTGACTTCAGTCTGGAGCTGTAGCTGAGATGCAGGGAGTGCTGTGTGTCTACATTTGTCCCAGTGAAATGACCAGACCTGTGTCTCTCTGTTCACGCTTAACAGGGATGGAAACAAACAAACATGAGGGTTTCCACCAGTCACCTGCAGCAGCTCGCCATCTTCACCACTGTGCTGACGGGCGGGGGGGTCGGCATCATGTACTACCTGATGCAGAGTGAGTACAGTACAGACAAGGCCTGTGTGTGTGTGTGTGTGTGTGTATTGAATGCTAAATGAACCATTTTAGGAGCTGAACAGCAAATGTCATAGATAGATAGATAGATAGATACTTTATATATCCCCTAGGGGAAATTCATGGCTGTACGCACATTGTACGACAATGTGCAATGACAATAAATACATTCTATTCTATCCAATTTATTCTGTTCTATTTTATTTTGTCCAATATATTCTGTTCTTTTCTATCCAATATATTCTATTCAATTCTATCTAACAGTTCAATAGAATTCTATTCTATTCAATTCAATATATTCTATTTATTTTATTCTATTCTATTCTATTCCTTTCTATCCAATATATTCTATTTATTCTGTTCTATTCTTTTCTATCCAACATCCACACACATCGCACCACAGAGTCTGTTACACCCTTTGTGATCACAGACTTCCTCGCTTCTGTTTGCTACTAAAGAATGGCTGGTGGATGGTCTTCCCCTCTCAGCCGCGCTGCCTTGTACTCTGTGTACTGGGGGCTATGGGCTACAGCTGCTCCCGGATTGGCTGTGGCTGCACCATTAGTAGTTGCTGATGAACAAACAGCGGTTGTTCCATTAGATGCATGTGAGACAGCTGTGCTCCTGTTTCCTGAGGGAATCACAAGTATGATTGGCTGCCTCCAGAGGACCTTTGCGTCAAGATGACTCTTTCTCTGCCGGGACATTCGACTGTGGGTGTGAGGAGTCTGTATCTGCGAGCCAGGGGCTACGCTACATGAGTAGTTGGATACAGTTCTCTTAGAATTTGCAAGTTCAGTAGCTCTCAGTCATCACACGTCAGTAAACTGCTTTCAACACTTTTACTCACTAATTTTATTATTATTTCATAATGCTCTTCCTTTTCTACTTCCTGTCTGCTGTTGAATTAGAGAAATTCTCTGCGTCAGACTACCACAGACTGGCTTTGCAGAAGTTGGAAGCATGTCCAGCTGCCATGGAAACCATTGGGGCCCCTCCCTTAAAAGTCCACAATATCCACCTGATTGACAGACACAACCGTGTAGATCAGAACACTGCACAGGTACCGTGTTGCGACAGTCATCAGAGTGTGTTATTCTGTGTTTGACAGGAACACACTGGCGGCCCGGATGCTGCTGCTGTAGATCAGGGGCCAGTTGCGCAAAACACCTTAAGTTAAGATTTTCCCTTAAAGTCTGAGTTAAGATTTATTTGAAATAAAAACAGTTGCACAAAACACACTTATGTCTTCTCCTTAAGGTTTCTTTAATATGTTCACTTAAATATTTCAGGTTTTTTCCTTGTCTTAGTCTTATTCTTCAGGAATCACTTAAAATTAGTTAAACTGTTGCACAAAAGACCTTAGCGACCAAGCTAAGGAAAAAAACTAACAGTAGCTCCGACTCGGTCTTAACTGCAACATCACTCAACTCATCCCATAAAGAGTGTTCCTCAACCGGAAGAAACCCTTAACAATGCAGAATTTTACTGCTATAAAATCTCTTTCATTTTAATTTTGTTTCTTAACTAAGGAAACATTTTAAGGGATTCTGTGCAACACACTTAAGATACTCCCTCAGCTAAGGAGAAATTAAACCTTAAGGGCCATACTTAAGTAGAAAACTTGAGGTGTTTTTGTGTAACCAGCCCCTTGTCCTTTATGACGTGTGATGTAACACTGATCCTGATGGTGAACTTTCATTGTGTTGCAGATGAAGATTCCCGTGACTGGGTCAAAAACCGGAGGTTATCTGTATGTTTTTTCAGTCAGAGACCATGATACCAACAGGTCAGTACATTCTCTTCTCGCTCCATTTTCATAGATAGGTACAGTAACATTATAAAGCTGACGGTGATGTTCTTGATCAAACTGATGTGTCATAGTGATGTAACACAGGTGGAGTCATGCAGTTTGGCATTTCCTTCGCCGTTAATTCTCTCTGCCTGTGTCGTGTTGCTGAGGTTTATTCAAATGAAGTGAAGGTCCGGTAGCCCTGCCGCCGTAGGGCTGCTCTTTCAGGAGACCCCTCTGTGGGTCATATCAGAGGGTTGAAGAAAACGACCTATGTGGTTGCTCAGGTTGAGTTGAGTTGTTGTTGGAGAGGCGCTGAGAGAAGCTTCAGAACAAACGAACAGGGCATCAGGTTCAGTCTGTAAATCATAAAGATGACAATCTTAGGACAAAACCAGAAAGTGAACCTTGAGTCCCTCTTCAGCTGTGACATCTCTCACAAATAGATACACTAAAAGACTTTTTAATCTATGACTTTTGAACTGAATAAACTGATTGAACCTGAATGGATCCGCTCCATCCTCCTCTCTACACACCTCCTCATTCAGCTCCACACCCACATCTGCCTCCCAGGTGGGTTTTATATGGTTTGATGACATATTAAAAAACAGTGACACAAAATTTGAAACAAGATGTTTAGATCAAATCATCACAAATATATCTTCTTATGGATCAACACTTCAAATAAAACACAGATGAGTGTTTCCTTGTGACATCACAAAGTTCCAGAAGTCCTGGCGGCTGGTTTTAAGGCTCAGTTTCTGAATACAGGCTGTGTGCATTTCTCTGTGGACTGAGGCTTTGATACTTTCACAGTATTAATATAGAACCTAGACCTGATCTATAATCAAACTACACATGGACAGAGACCTTTATACTATATGGGGCTTTAATGCAGGTAATAGGAATATTGTTAATATTTCCTGAGGCTATCAGGTATCTACCAGAAGGGTCAGTACTGAGGTTAGAAAACTGAAATGGTACAGATTTTGTGTAATGTGTAAGATCTTGCTACTTGCTCCACCTCCATAGGGGGCAGCATTTCACCTCTTCACCCCTGTCCAGTTAATCATGTTGTTGTTTTCCCCATGTTCCTTATAATTTATTATTTATAAGTGCATTTATTGTTGATAGCTTAAATTGTTGATAGCACAGAAACAGTACTTGTAATACAAACAGTATGTTTTTATTTACCTATAAAAAATATGAAGGCAAGGGGATACTGCATGACACATGGGCGTCAGGCTACAGCAGCATGAGGAAGGGATGATGACATCATCACAAAGGCACAATCAGTAATAAGGTTTATTGCCAGGAAGGTTTTTACTTACAAGATATTTGGCTTGGTGTTTGATGCAGTATCCAATAAACATATTAACAGGAAATAACAATAAAAAGGTAAAATACTGCAACAGTCAAAAAGATAAATATATAGATACACATTAAAAAAAACAAAACTATGAAAAAAACTATGAACAGAAGTGTTGACAAAACTCCTGCTGAGCAGGATGTGCAGAAGATCACAGTAGAGACAGTATGTGTTCTGTGCAGGGATAATACTCTGAGGTGTTACTGTAATGTGGTTGTTGATGGTTGATGAGGCCGGACGCAGAAGAAGAGGCAGGTGCTGGTCCATCACTGGGGAGGACTGGACTGGAATTCTGGTCCTGATACAGACAAACATGTGATAGGACAATTAGTTCTTTATATTCAAACATGTTAGGTCTGTTGTGTGTGTATAATAAATTATCCCGCTGGTTCTGGATCAAACAGTCTCTTTGTCTCACTTGTAAAAGAAAAGTTACTGACGCATCAGGAGCAGGAACAGCCGCAGGAACAGACTAAATTCTGCTACATCGCTAAAACATCTGTCGACAACATCAATCATACATTTATGCCACTTGAAGTTTTTGTCATTTGCACTAATGATACTTTTCGCTACAGACCAACATTAGATGTTACTCAGCAGTCTAAGAGAAAAGATGCAGCTCGGCATCAAACTGCATCTCTTTACCCGGAGCTGTCTCCAGCGGTGGGAAGCCACACCAGGATTCACCCGTGTTTTCTTCTTTGTCGGTGAATGTGGTTTCTTGTCGGAGCGATTCTTTGGGATGGAGATAAAGATCTCTTTCTAGGTGCTTCAGACATCTGTGCGTTTCTGTGATGTTAGTCGGGAGTTTTTTTTTTTAGTCGGGAGCTGTTGCGTAACTTCAAGCTCAGGAGGAAGCTCTTCTTCTTTGTGGGATTGAGGGCAGACTAGACGCTACACTGACTCACACAACATCTATCTATTCTTCACCATTCCTGCCACTGCAGACATACATCACAAATATGACATAAACAATAGACTTGGTGTAGTGTAAATAATATTAGAAACCTCCCACCCCTCCCTTTAGCAAACAGGTCAGCCATACCCCCACAAACAACAAGGTAACATACCGTCCTCTTGCTGACCTTAACAAAAAAGACTGGGTCTATGTACAATGGGAAGAATGCTATGAACTGAATTACTCTCTAACTAATGGTTACAGAATTTCACACAGTATTGAAGCTCCGCCTCCCAGGTACACCTTCAGTTACAGGTACACCTTGGTGGGCTATGTTCAGATAGTCTTGGGATATGTATAAATCATTTTATACTGTTTTTTGGATGATAGATTTATGTCACCATCTCTGACTCGTGTTGGTCACTCCCTGCAGGTGGAGTCTGGAGCAGGCGGTGCTGAAGCTCCGGGAAGGACAGACCATCAACCTGCTGACTCCTCCAGCTGCTGGAACCCAGACACCAGAGCACACACAGGGGCTGGACACAGGTCACTGGCACTGACCAGCTCCATGCACTGATGAGAATGATGAAAGAGGAAGTCGTCCCGCTCCGACAGCTGCTGAGTAGAGGTTTAATCATCCAGATGGTGAAAGCTCGGTTCCAGCATCGTCTAAATGAGACAGCAGTTACTCATGACACACAGCTCTGAGTGTCACTGGGCCTCTAACACACTGATCCGGATCGTTGTTGTGTTGTGTGACTTTTGAATAAATAATGTGAAACAGACACGTTGCTATCGTTGCACCAATCAGTTATTTTTTCATTTCTAATTAATTTCCTTTGAAAAATAAGGACGTGTATCGACATGTATCAAGATAAATCAGTTATCTTCTAGCTATAAACAAAGTGCGTGTGTGTCTGTGTGTGTGTGTGTGGTTGTGTGCAGGGCAAACAGCAGGATGAATCATATAGCAGGACACAAACCTGTGGTTTCACTGACTTATTTCACTCATCTCCCTGCTTCCTGTGCAGATGTAGATAAGGGAAGTGTTGTCATTACACCCACAGAGATGGTGTGTGTGTGTGTGTCTGCGTGTGTAGCTCTCTTTTATTCCATATACTAGTAATAAATGTAATCATGGCTGCCTTTCCTGTGAGCCTCTTTGTGTTTTCACAGGTTCACCCTGGTGACTGAAGGCTCAAACTCTTTCTGTCATGGACTCGCAGAGTTCATAGTTACTAGTTTGAAAAAAAAAGGTTTGCAAAGCAGAAGAATCATCATCCACAAACACCCTTGTTTTTGAAAACGATGAAAATGTGCATATTACTGAGAAACTATTATCATAGTTTAATTTTCACAAATAAGAATTAAATATATACTGTATAGAACATAAAATATACACACTTGAAAACGCAATCCACGTATCGTTTGAGATTGTAGCTACGCTACATCCTTCAGAGGACATGGCCTTCAAAGTCGCGGCCCTTTGTCTGCCCGCCGTTACCGACGCGACACAAAGTGCAGCTCCTGTCGCCTAGCAACCTTGACAACACAGCTTTTTTTACGGAAACTTGTGGTTTATGACCCTTAGTATAGTAGGTGTGGCGTCCAAGAGACACTAAGAAGTGATGAACCTGGGACTTGTTGTTCTATGCTCAACTGTGACTTTTGAAGTTGAAAGCGCTCATATTCAGTGAATAACAAGTGTGTCCCAGCAGGTTCATCACTTGTTTCTTTTTAAGTTATTCTTATTGGTCCGTGCCGGCAATAGCCAGAGCTGGAAGCATGTTGTTTTTGGGTTGTGCATACGTCCCATTCTCGTGAACGTGATATTTTAGAAATACTTTGACTGAATTTCTTCAAATTTAGTACAAACATTCACAAGGACTAAAGGATGATCTGATTAGATTATGGTGGTCAAAGGTCAAGGTGACGGTGACCTCACAAAACACGGTTTGGCCTTGTGAACGCAATATCTCCGTAATGTCTTGAAGGAACCTCTTCAAGTTTTGCACAAATTTGCTCAAGGACAAATTGATTAGACTTTGGTGGTCGAAGGTCAAAGGTCAAGGTCATGGTGAACTCAGAAAACACTTTTTAGCCATCAAGACTTCACACAGTAATAATGACAAACATTTCTCACAAATGACACCATCTATCCCTCATCTACAATGTCGCCCTTTCATCGGTACCCAGGAGGGTCAACAACATAACCTCAGACGACTCTCAACGATCGTCATCCACCAGGGGCTCACCTGACCCTAACGACTGTCGTTCACAGGGGACAACAACAGGGTCACCTGACCCCTAACGACGGTCGTCCACATGAGACCACAACAATGGTCAGGTGAAACCAGTACTTTCACAGGTACTTTGGTGGACCCACCCACAAGAGGTTAAATACCTGGGTCCTACTCCACTTTCTTGGTCAGACTAGTGCGGACTAGAGAGACCAATACATGATGAACTGATGAAGCCGCTTGGATAAGAGGCGAAACGTCTTCCACAGACAAATACAAGTCCAGTTGCCTTCGATTTAATTTGAGAGAGAGATAACTATGACCTGGACGAATGAGAACATTCACAGACAGACAGAGAGAGAGAGAGAGAGAGAGAGAGAGAGAGAGAGAGACAGGAAAGTCTGGGCCGCTGCGGTTAGGATTACGCCTTCATGGTTTGTTGTAAGTTGCAGTGCACTGAGCTCTCAGGGCCACCGTAGCTTGGTTTTAACAGCTGTACTGTTAGCTGCTGAACTGAGCTGAAACACAATACTTACATTTAACAGTGTGATCCTCAGGCTCTCTGTCTGTGTTAATGCTGCCATATTATGTTTATTACCGGCATGCAATGAATCTTGGGATAGGTTGGACCACGAAGGATCCACCTGTTGGAGCCTTCATTGTCCAGGAAAGGAATTATACATTTGAAGCAGCCTTTGAAATGGGACAGTGTATCTGCGCAGCTGTGATACAATCAGTACTCAGATGCAGCCTTTGAAGGATGTGGCCCCTGAAGTGGGACACAGCTGTTATGAATAAAATTACATATTTTCAATTTAACTGTGACATTATAACGAATGTCATTTTAAAACCAAAATGAATGAAATGTAATTTCACCTCCAGCACAGGCTGTATTCACTGTTTTTAATAAACTGCAGGGAAATGATCTGTGGGAATTGATATCGTGTACCTGCAGATTATTGACCACACAGTTACATGTGAGACATTTTAGCAGTTCACACATCAGTACTGTGTGGTGACTTTTTACGGACAGGCGCACATTGTACACCTCCCACCCCCTAACCATAAACCACTATCTCTGTGTGTGATTCAGTTCACTGCACTTAATGAGAAAACTGCATCAAACTAAAACTAAAACCTCCTCATGACAGTAGCAGCAGCAAACCTCTCATGATTTTGTGCTGCTGTCCTGTCTTGTCCTATCTCTCTGCTCTCTGCATGAACATCTTCACCTTTCTGCTCTCCTTCCTGTCTGAAGAAGTATCAGGATTATTCCTTTGCACTGACACTAAACATATCAAATGTGCAGTATGCGGAAAATCTATGGCGATCTCCCTTCCAGGTCTTGCACAGAGAACTCTACACCTGTTAGGTATCAGCTTTGTCTACAGCCAAACTCCTAGATTCTAAGTTCGTGTGTCCTTGTGTTGCTTACGCCTCCACTCTAACTGTTGTCTGCCTGTGTTCCAGGTTCAGCTTCACCCTGCCTTGCTTCACTCCTCAAAGTGTCTACAAACCCCAGCCTGAGATCCAGCACCCAGCCATCTCCATCTCTCCATCGCCTTATTCCTAAGTTCTACAATAAACTGGACTGCCTCTGAGTCTGAGTTCTACCTTTGGGTCCGAACCACTAAACTTAATTTAAAAATGTAACAACACATTGATTAACAGAAAGGGAAATATGTTGAAGTGAAAACTAAAAAGCAGAACAGAATTAGAAGACATGGATATAATGTCACATGGTTAACTGTAATTATGTACATTTAATATGTATGTTCAAAAGAACTAATTGACAGCTGCTGCACAGTACACCCTAACTAAACCAAGGTGATTACAAGGACAACTTACTCAACTTGCTGCTGCCTCTTAACACTTAGGAAGAAAAGACTAAAGGAATTTTCAAATGCACAAGTTCAGTTTCCACACACACACACACACATCCGCACATTTATAATAATGCTGCAGTACAATAACTGATCTCAGGACAGTGAAAGCTGAGTCGATGGTGACTATCGTAAACTGCTGGTAGTCAAACCAAGCATCAACCTCCGGGGCTGAAAAATGAATCCTACACTGAAATGACAAAAACTGCAGTTACTTGAGTTAGGGTTAGGAGATAGGGAATGCATTATATCAATGACGGTTTGACAAATATAGTTAGACGAGTGTACTCGTGTGAGTGTATGTGTGTGTTCTGAGTAGTGATACTGAGTACTGATTTAATAATGTAACATTAACTACTGAGTACTGATGTGATAATGCAGTGATGAATGAGCACTGCTTCTGATTCTAGTCACACAGTGGATGATCTGACTCGACATTTCTCTTCATGTAGAGACAGTGAGTAAACAAACTGCCTGCTAGAATCTGACCTGTTTTTTGTGCACTAAACTGTGTGTTTGTGTGAAGAGAACCACCACGAACTAGTTCAAGTTTAATGAATGTATTTTTCATTCAGACGTTCACTTGCGCTGTCACAACATACAGCAGTTCAACAATAAAGAAAAACCTCAACAGCCTAGCGAGGAGTGGCTAGAAGGTAGTTTCTTTCTATGTTTATGTTATTTATATTATATATGGAAATGATCCAACAATTTAATGAGATTAGATAAGACTGTTTTACTGACACAGGGGCTAGTAGTCTTATTTTGTGTCTGCGTGGGAGAAGTGTGAGATACTGAAAAAGAAAAGGGTTTGAGAGGAAATGAGCTGGTGTTTAACACCTTTTGTTCACAGCTGTCAGTTCCAGGAAGGAAATCAAGAAAACCTAATATATGTAAATATTTTCATCTTCATCCTCATGTGTGTGAAGGTGTGTGCATGTCAATCAGTTCAATCAGTTTCCTTTAAATAAACCTCCTCACCATATTTCTTCTTTATCTCAATAACTAAACTGATGATCCACATGTGGAAAATGGGAGGTGGGAGGGAGGCTCATCGACGACTCACCAGGGCTCTGAGTCTAGACCGGAGGATGTAGGATGTAGCATTGTCATCTTTGGTATCTGAATTGCTAAGAGGGTTGTGGGTTGTTGGTTCATGATACTTTTTTTTTTTCACACACACACACACACACACACACACACACTCTCTTCCCTCTTCCCTCTTCCCTCCTTCCATGGGAGGCCATGTGGGGGCGACTGCAGCTTCCACCGCCTGTTAACCATGGGCTGTTTTTTCTCTAAACGTACCCATACTGGAGGCAGGAGCAGACTGCAGACTGTAACCAAATATGCCCTCTCTCTTTCTGGTTGCAGATGAGCAGGAAGGAGAACTGAAATACCATGAGCTGGTAAAGAGGAAGAATAAAGAAAACTGTATCAGATAAGATCTCTTTCATTTTTACCAAGAAGTTGAACACTTTTTCCTCACAATAAGCCCCTATTGCTAAACTGTCAAACTATTTGGTGATTCTTATCTTATAATGCTCTTAAATTTCCTCTCTCTGAAGAAAATATATAATTGCCTGAAATTGGTGTGGAATTTGACAAACAAAACAGGCAGCTCCTATGTGGAGAAATATTATAGCCATATAGTCAAAGTTATTACACAGAAGACAACACTCATTTTAAGTAGTAAAGAAACAAATTAAATCTTATTTTTCAGATTGTACCACATGATGAAAGGCCTGTTTGCTGCATAACAGCTTATAGCATATAGTATAATGGTAGATGTCAATGTGTTCTTTAATTATAAAGCAGATCTAGATTCTATATTAATACAGTCTAGGAGATATGTTGGGTTTTATACCCCAAGCAAACAGAATTGTTATAGAAGTTGTTGTTTTTTTATTGGAATATTTTGACACAAATACATGAACCATTTTTATCACATTTACACACCCTGTAAGAGGAAGAGACAAAGAAATCCAGAGATCAATATTTTTCCTCAGCTTGTCTGACTGAACACAAAAGTTGTTTTTAAATTAGAGTTCGGCATTTACAGGAGGACACCAGCCCAGATAAGTAAATTGTCTTTAACTGTTTCAAAGGGAAAAGATTCAAGAAAAAGAGGATCCAGATCCAGAAATGCATGTTTCCTTCAATTAACCGAGGCTCCCAAAACAACTGATTGAAGGTCCCATACAGTCTAAAGGTCTCTGTGCATGTGTTGGTTGATTATAGATCAGGTCTAGGTTCTATATTAATACTGTGAAAGCATCAAAGCCTCAGTCCACAGAGAAATGCACACAGCCTGTATTCAGAAACTGAGCCTTAAAACCAGCTGTCAGGACTTCTGGAACTTTGTGATGTCACAACAAAACAGTCACTGCCGTCAACCATGCTCCACGCCCCACCCACCTGGACCCACCATCCAACCTTGCAGGATTTGGTTCCTCTAAGTGTAATCTTGGGTCACTTTTCGTTCTTAAAACCATAAATATATCTTCTTATGAATCAACACTTCAAATAGTGTCAAATATGGACTTTTACATCAACAGTGGTTGTAGCCAATAGACAGCTGATGTCTATGTAGTTGCTGATATCATTTAACTACCACAGGAACCTTGTACTTGTCTGCACACTCGTCTGGTTTAGGACAGCCCCTTCACCAACTCAATCAGTTGCAGTGAACAGCCCACAGTCACTTGTTGTACTCCTGCTGCTGCTGCACACCCAATAAGATCCACTGGTGAGTTAATTTATCCTTAATGACAGTGGACTTTAAAAGTAATTTGAATTTGTTTGTTTGTTTTACATTCATCTGTATTATGAGATGTACATGTGTATAATTTAGTTAGTTCTTGTCTGAAACTGTGGTATTTTAATCTCTGAAATGCATGGTGAAGTTGTGTATCCCTTTAAATGCATGTTTTTATGAGATAAGATAGAGGAGTTGTGGTGAGATGAACTTTCATTGAAAATACTGCAATGACTCAAACATGTCTCACTAGTGTTTTGTATTGTTTTTGATCACCTGGAAATGACTCCATCAGTTTGTTGAGTGATTCAAACTCATGGTTTCACAGCTAATGTCAAACTGCAGAACTGTGAAGATTAACAGGAACACTGAAAACTACACATCTGTGGTTCATTATCAATCACTATAAATCACTGATTAATCTAATTATTACAACTTACAATTTTTTTTTATGTAAAATAGGCAAACACCAACACAGCACTTAACATGAGTGAATAGTGTCAAGTTTTCAGGAGTCTTATTTATAATCTGAAGATTTCTTCTAGTCTCCATAAATTGCTACTGACGATGTGTAAATGAAGGATAATCAGATTTTAAATACTGGTTAAACTCCAGTGATCTGTTAGAATTTAGGACAAAAATCATTAACTAACTCCACCTTTTAATAAAATCAAAAAATGCACTTTAGGTCAAAAACATATTATTCACTGTGGTTTGACTGAAAAGAAGGAATCCTGATAGGTAACAAGTATTATAAGGTACATAAATATTAATATAAACAATAAAAACAGATTTGATTGCTCATCACAAAGGGAAAACATGAATATTTATTATTTATTATCAAAATTTACATCTGCATTAATACTATATAGAAACACAAAGCTCTTTCATTACTAAATCTAAAAAAAAAAGAGAAAAAAAAGAAAGATACTGATGATGATGCAACAAGTCAGGGACAGGAAATGAGCGTCTGTGCTCCTTCACAGTAACTCACAGCGCAGATAGATTAGACTGAATCTGTGGAAGAACCCATGAAATGTGAATAAACCAAATTATTGCATCTACTTAGCAACTTATCATAAATCCTCAAATGGTTCACTGAGCGCTGTCATGAAAAAAAAAAAATCAACTACAAAAACAACACAACCTCATCATGTGCCAGGATAATTATCTCTATGATAAATACCATAAATGAATATACAATGTCAAACAATTGTAGAAGAAAATAAACTCACAGCTTTCTGAGGGCTACAACAGAAGTGTTGCTTCCATCAGACAAACTGCACAGAGGACAGTGAAGAACTACTTCCTGTCTCCTATTACGACCTCGTACAGACTTTAAAGTGACACGCCACGCTGCCTCACACCAGGATTTAAAACTGTGAAATATTACAGTGAAATAAATTAATTCAACTGGCATCACAGTGATTCACACAAATGACCCATGCAGAATTCAACTTTGATGAACTTTGACATTAGAGCTGTTGACCAATAGCGTGGCAAGCTCACAGAGAGCTGGAGAGTCCAAAATACAGGAGGCTATCTTTACTAGCTGTGTTGCACCATTCACTTTTATTTAACCTCCTCTGTCTGGTGCAAATATGTCTTTTGAATAAACTTAATCAACTTTATTGTCCCATTAGCAACAAAGCTAGGCTAACGAGCTCTGAGAGATTTATTTCCGTATTCAATTACTTTTTAATGGAAGAATTCTGTACAAGGGTGAACAAAATGCCAGGAGGAAGTAAGCAGAATATTAGACAGGAAATAAATATGATCTGAAGTGCCTCTCCTCACTGCGGCAGCTTCAAAGTGCCCTCAGAGGTATTTCCATGATGTCTGTCTGCCTGCAGTGATAGAATATTTGCCCGGTGCCAAACCAATGGTGAAATTGAATATTTCCAAAAACTGTACCAACTATAAAACTAATCTGAGAGCTATAGGGCAGGAGTTTTAATGAAGCAAATGTGATGTGCATCTTGCAAAGAAGAGCAGAGTGGAGTGCACAGTCTGGGAAATATTGGGTATAAACACTGGGCACAAATCTGACCATCAACCTACAGCAATATTAATGGGCTAGCATGTTGTAGAGGTGACCCATGTTTTGTTTTTCCCATTTCATAGACACTTTGGATGTAGCAATGGTGTTAACAGAGTAGGAGAGACATTAATCTCAGGGTTGGTGATCTGAGACTACGCAGAGAGTCTAGCCTACTCTTTAAGTTCAGAGGTAAAGAATATAAGACTCACCCCTGTTGAGCTGAAACTGAGTCATTTCTGGGAACAAGTATTGCACACCAGTTGAGAGAGTCAGGAGTTTTTTTTTGCTGCTGAACTAAGCAGTTTCTCTTCTCTGTTTTGAGGACCTAACAAAAAAATCAACATAAGATGATGGAACAGACATGAATCATTAAGTTACAGCTGCTCCTCTTAATTTCTACGGGTAAAACACAGCATGGTCACAAATCCAGCTCATCAATGCAAGATAGAAAACCTTCCAGCTTATTCCAATCCTGAGTATCTGAAAGGGAACAGACTGAAGCTGTGTCCCAATTCAGGAGCCACTTCCATCAGAGGCTGCGTTTGACTGGGGACATTTCCAGTTCAGCGCTCAATACATCATTAAAATATCTACTAAATATAAAATAAAAAGGAGAATATTCCCAACAGACAGTAACTGTTACACTGTAATAAATTATGGTGAAGGATGACTGATAAAACATCAAGTCCCTGCCTTTGAGGCAGTTGTGAAGTCTGATTGTCTATGTATTCCTCATTATTTATATTTAGTAAGTAAGGGTCCGCAGATCACAAGAATTGAAAGTGTTGTGCATAAAAGTATTCCAGGTTTTGAATATTGTAGACAGTCTGGCAACTTCTAACATAAAAAGTTTTTCAAGTTCTGGCTGGGGGGCTTTGGGTATGTTTTTGTTATTTCACTGATGAACGCCTAACCAATGGGTGAGCCAGCTAACCTTTTCTCTGCCTAGAGACAACAAAAATTGGATAAATCTATTTTGATGGTTTTACCTTCACTTCTGAAGCTGCTATAGCTAGCAGCCAGCCCACCCTGTTAGTAAGTTAAGAGTAAGTAAGTAAGTAAGTTAGGGGTCAGTCCCCGTTTTTGGCCGGCCCCGGAAAATGTGGACATCTGGTCACCCTACCTTAGAGGCTACTCTAGATCAAAGTGTGTTTCTCAAAGTGTGGGTGCAAATAGTGACAGGTGTTATTATTATTAGCAGCAAATAGACTGACCTAGGCCTTTCACGTCTCTGTGCCACAGGTAAAACTGCAACCATGAGTTCCAGCAACGACCAAGACATGTACGACCTCTTCAATGAGCTCTTCGATATCAACGATATCAACGATACCAACACGACTGACCCGAGCTACGTGGTCAGCAGGACTGTCAAGCTCTGCTCGAAGATGGTTGTCAACAAGTTTGGTGCGAGATTCATCCCAATTTTCTACTATGTCAACTTCCTCCTGAGTTACCTTGGCAATGGGCTTGTCCTCTTCATCATCTACAAGTATGAGAAGCTCCACACGGTGACAAACATTTTCCTCCTGAATTTGGTCCTCTCCAACTTCCTCTTCGCCATCAGCCTTCCCTTTTGGGCGACGTACCATCTGTCTGAGTGGATTTTTGGCATGGCTCTGTGCAAGATGGTCAGCAGCGCCTACTTCATCGGCTTCTACAGCTCCATCCTCTTCCTCACGCTAATGACATTTGATAGATACCTTGCAGTGGTGCATGCAGTGGCAGCTGCCAAGAGCAGGAAGAAGGCGTACGCCATTATTGCGTCTGTGATAGTTTGGGGCATCAGTATTGTAGCAAGTGTGAAAGAGCTGGTTCTCAGAAATGTGTGGGAGGATCAGATCAATGGGCTGATGTGCGAGGTGTCCGGATACTCCGATAGCACCATGGACCACTGGGAACTAGTCACTTATTACCAACAATTCCTGCTCTTCTTCCTCCTCCCTCTCTTCATGGTGATGTACTGCTACATCAGCATCACTGTCCGCATCATGTCCACCCGCATGAAGGAGAAGTGCCGCGCCATCAAGCTTATATTTGTCATCATCTTCACCTTCTTCGCCTGCTGGACACCCTACAACATTGTCATCCTCCTTAAAGCCTTACAGATCTCCAGCACCAGTAAGGACGACTACACATGTTCAGACATGGAGCACTTGGACTACGCCCTCTATGTGACCCGGAACATAGCCTATCTGTACTGCTGCATCAGTCCTGTGTTTTATACATTTGTGGGGAAAAAGTTCCAGAGCCACTTCAGACGGCTGGTAGCCAAGAACATCCCCTGTCTAAAGAGACACATCAGCCTGAGCAGCCAGAGCACCAGGACCACATCACAGAGGACACCATACTCTGACTATTAGACACACACACACACACACACACACACACACACACACACACACACACACACACACACATACTATACAATCACATGCAATGTAAAAACTTACCACATCACAGAGGGCTATTACTACTATTAGTACTAGAAGGAGACACACACATTCTTGTACTTCGATCTTTGTGAGCACACTCATTGACATAATGTATTCCCTGGTGCCCACATGAACCTAATTCTAACCCTAAAACAAAAATGTCCTCAATATTTAGGAAAATACTTTGTTGGTCCTCACTATGTAGCATTTAAGCATTCACAAGTCCACAAGTCCACACACACACACACACACACACACACACGCACTGTACAATTATATGCACACCACAACAATGTAAAAACTTACCACATCACAGAGGATACCACACTGAGTACTAGAGAGAGATTCACACACATTCTTGTACTATCCATCTTTGTGAGGACACAAAAATGTGTTAGGAAAAAACTTTGTTTGTCCTCACTTTGTAGCATTCACACACACACACACACACGCACACCCCAGATAGCAAAATGAAACTTCTGGTCCAACATATACCAGGGTGCTCGGCCCAAGTCTGGCGCATACACTTCCACATCTGGGCAGAGTCCAGCTGTTATCCTCCGGTATTGACTGACAGCTGGAAGACTTTCTTTGTGCACAACAGAACTGATCCAAATGTGGAAGTAGCATCTTACAGCCATGCTGTATATGGGCCAGATTCGGGCCAGGGAACTGGGTGTATACTGGACCAGAAGAAAACAAGCATGTGGCCCGAGTATGGGCTGGATTTATTTCGCTATATGGTACACACACACACACACACACACACACTGGACAATCACATGCAATGTAAATTCATATTCTCTGGCATAAGTGTGGATTACGGTTTGTTAAGATTTATAAATACATATATTATCAGCTTTTCAAGGAAAAACTGAAGCTGTGTGGTAATTTTCTGATTAAGCTCTTTTCTAAATAAGAAAGTTCAGTTTACTTGTGATCTTCGGCTGGGGATCAGAACTTTACTTCCTGTCAGATAATCAGTTGTAAACAATCAATTCTTCTTTTATCATTAACTTCATTAGATATAGGAAGTGTATCAGTATGACGACTGCATCACTTAAATCTTCTATTTCTCAGATTGAACTTTTATCAGCTTTTATCAAACCTTGTTTTAATATTCATAAGAAAACCTTATTTGAAAAGGTTACATGATTAAGCTTGTTGTGTATTTTTTATACATGTTTTTATTTTATTTTATACATACATACATCATCAGCTCTGTAAACTACTGTACACAGCTACAGAGTGATTCTGCTGTTGTTCATATGTGGATATAGTGTGAGTCTGGTCATTCCCTGAAAACTGGTCTGCGGTAAATCCATTGAAAATTTTAATTTTACCAATATGGAAATTTTTGCCGTCAATCAAAACAATACCACAAGATGGAGTTTGGTGACATTGTGGGATCATGGGAGTTGTTGTCTTCGCCACCATTGCCGTCATTGTAGTCAGCTATTCAGTCATTCAGGAGGTTTTTACCTGGAACTCGTGTCCTCCTCTCCATAACAAACACACCAGGTGAAAAAAAATCATTGATTCTCTCGGTGAACACAGGACGTCTCCAGCAGCTGGGAGCTGAGCTGTCTAACATTTGCTCCGCTTGTTTCTCTGATAACTTCAGATCCAGACGTCCGACGACTAAAATCCTTCATCTGGTTCAAATATAGAGCTGAAAACCACCAAGGTGTAAAAAGTGCATGTGGCTTAAAACTAAAACTCAATGATGAACTTCTGTCAGACAAACACACTGACACATGATCATAGAGAATGTGATGTCACTGACAAAAGACCAATGAAACATGAAACAATCAAGTCACAGATTTCTCTGGTTTGAGAATCGATGGAAACATTTGTGTTAATGTAAGAACACAACTCAACAACATATAGAATATAGGTCTATATGTTTTTAGACATTTAATGTGGAAAAGTTACATGTTAAAACTGTAAGGACCTTAAAATCTGAAAAGTTAAAGGTCTTAAAAGGCTGAGACTTTTTTTTTTTTACTATCAAGAAATCACATGAAAAGTGTGTTAGTACACCTCTCAGTACTCTCTGGCTCCATACCCTATCAGTGGCTCTCCCATGGTCCCATTAGTTCCTACTAAAGACATAAGTCTTTCGAATCATCTCACAAATGAATACCGGTAATTCTTTTTTTAAAAGCCAATAAAAGAGCAACTGGGCTCTGAAGTTTTCACTGAGCATTATTTAACCCCCCCACTCCCCGGCAGGAACTTTTACTGATACGAGAGTGGAGGTGGAAGGACACAGACATTAATCTGTCACTGTTAAAGGCCGTTTTTCATGAGGAGCTTTAGTCCATATTCCTATGTGTATATCTTCTTCAGACCTGCTCCTGGTCCCGTCTTGTTGATTCTGTGTACATGTTCGTAGAGATGTATTTGTCCAAGTGCTTTAAAATGAAATGTATCATATCCTTTCAATAAATATGACAAACTGTTCCCCTGTGACATCTGTCCTTTTATGGAATCTATCCATCCCTCTGCTGTCGTGGTTTATGGGCTTGGATGAATGATAGGAGCGTTTCCCTTTTCTGACAGAACATCTGGAGCAGCTTCCTGTCAGCCGAGCACATTTTTCTGGTGAATCATAGTGGTCAGGTCTGGAGGAACAACATGAAATAATGAAACAGTGTGAGTCAAATAAACAGGCTCTTTAAACAGCATGGCAACAGCATTGAAAGTACAGTGATAACGTATTGGTGATTTTGGTTACACCAAAAACATATTAGAAGTGTATATCTTTTTAAATTATCATGTCATATTCATATGTAGTGTTGTACTTCTATCAGAAAGATAGAATCACTCAAAATGTCAGTGGCAGAGATATTTTGCCTTTTAAGCTCCAAAACCCCTGCATCCTACATGTCCCATGATGCAGCTGGGTAGTGTTTCTTGTTTAGCCCCATCCTGACTGATAAACACCTTTCAGTCTTTCTAACTTCATCTGTCATCTGTTATGATGCAGGTTTTTTCTTGTATTTATAAATTTACCCAAGCTGAGATAACCCTGTTCACATCATCATGACATCATCAGGGCTATTTTTTTTCGTTTGTCAAAGCTCCTCCACAGACACAGGTCACTACACAGCTGTTTTTACAGGCCCTTGTTCACATGTTTCCATGGTTTTCACTGTTTGTTCTCTTTTTCTTTATATTTTTAGACATAGTGAGTAGTAAATATTTTCATTCGACTGCCACGTATCACTTCCTGTCTTATTACATTTCCTCCTTCTACAATGACAATCAATATATCAACAAAGTGAGCGCAGATATGATATTATATGATATGATATTGTTGATAACAAAAATACTGGATTATAGAGAATAATACAAAGAGGAGGGACAACAGGAATTTACAGTGGGGGCCACAGAAGACGAAAGGCAGGGGGACGGGCTTTGAACTTGAACTTAAATGGTGTAGGCAGACAGGGCCTTTCTAATGTCATAAATGTTGTGTAACTATATAAACAGGAAGTTACTGTACATAAGTCAAGACACAAATCTGCACCACCAGTTCATTCTCCATACAGTTCACAGTCCTGGGTACCACAAGAGCCAGCTCATTGTCCGGCTTCTCGTTCTCTTCAGTTCACACTCTCAGCCCCCAAGTCAGACGCTCATACGTCACCAGTCACACAGTTCCCTCCACAGCTGGAAAAAACCAAACAACAGCTGGAAAGGACAGCTGTCCTTTACCTCTGTAGACAGCGTCACAGAAAAACATTTCGCCCCCTCACCTCTGACCCTACTCAGCCTCTCCATCCATCCTCTATGTTTAGGCTGTGCTGCCCCCATGGCCAACTTAAAGTGACAATCTGAAGATTTTCATCAGTGTCTTTTAATGACCTACTGATTAAACGATATACGAGTCCTTTACAGTTGTATGAGCCGGGTGTCTGCCATGACAAAGACAAAATCCCATGGAACTCAAGCGTGGTTGACAAATCCTGTCTCAGCCCCTACCAGCCACTGACCGAACACATCAGCTGAACCTCTTCCTCCCTCGTTCATCCTCAGTCTCACATCCACTCATCCATGCTCAACATATCATTAACCCTTTAATGGTGTGACCGGTGCATTTCTCTGGTTTGCCTGCACGCTGACTCCAAACCACAAGTATAAATTAGATTAGATTAGATTAGATTAGATTCATCTTTGCCATCGCACACATTAAAATACCAGTAAAATGAAAAGCAGGTAAGCATCTACCTAGAAAGTCTAATCAGTAGCAAAAGTGGATGTAGTTATATCATTTTTAAAAAAATGTGCAGAATAAACAATAAGCAGATGTGGTAGTTAAAGTATGAAGGTAAGTAACCAGTCAAGGGTTAATTACCAGTCTTGAGATATGGCTAAAGACGTGTTTTGAGTTGTCACAGTGACTTTCACCTTTGACCTCTGACCACCAAAATTAGTTCATCTTTGAGTCCTAGTGAGCACTTCACTAAATTGACAGTGTCACGAAATTCCCTGCAGGTGTTTCTGAGGTATTGTGTTCACATGAATGAGACAGACGTATGATTTGAGGAACGGAGGCCACAGCTGACGCAGAGGCGGAAGTATGTACAGTATGAATTCATGCAGCTATGATATGTAAGCAATAGAACAATAATATGTACAGTGTGGACAGAACCAGTGTGCTTATGTAACATACAGTGCAGAGAGGAATCAGGTTTGTACAGTGTTTGGTAAAATTGGATAGATAACGGGAAGTGAAAATAAAGATGGCAGCAGAAACTGAACAGTCCGAGGTTCACAGTTCAGAGGAGAGAGAGAGAGTGTGTGTGTGTGTGTGTGTGTGTGTGTGTGTGTGTGTGTGTGTGAAATGAAGACTGAAGCTAGATAGTCGTTTGTGGCCTTTGTGTCTTTAGGGATGTGGATGGTGTATGTGGAGCGGGGGCTGATGGGAGGAAGCTGGGGAAGAAGCTGCTCCTGAGGATGCTGGGAGCTGGTAGCACCTCCTTCAGGTTGGGAGGGAAAAAAAACAGTCCATGTCTTGGGTTCGTGAAGAGAGTCATGATGGAAATGATGGTAGTCGTGTTAAAACAAGTGTTTTAATGTTTCATAGATACCCTGCTCCAGTGGTAGCTACAGTCCTCAAACTGGGCCCAGTGGAGACCTGAGATCTTAGTGGATTTGATCTGCTTCCTTGAGGTGCTGCTGTAGGGCCGGACGACTACCAATAACCTGCATCAAAGGTCCAGGATAGATTTTTCATATTGATTTTTATTTCATGCCTGCTGATGTTTTTTAATGTGTGGTATCTTACTATCTACACTGTCTATATCTACACTGAGATTTAGATTGTAAAGCCCCTGTGGGTAAGACATCCTGTTCTGTTGTGTTCTATTCTGTTCTGTTCTATTCTATTCTGTTGTGTTCTATTCTGTTCTATTCTGTCCTGTTCTGCTCTATTCTGTTCTGTTCTATTCTTTTCTGTTCTATTCTATTCTGTTCTGTTCTGTCCTGTTCTGTTCTATTCTGTTCTATTCTTTTCTGTTGTGTTCTTTTCTGTTCTGTTCTGTTTTATTCTGTTGTGTTCTATTCTGTTCTATTCTGTTCTGTTCTGTTCTGTTCTGCTCTATTCTGTTCTGTTGTATTCTTTTCTGCTCTGTTCTATTCTGTTCTGTTCTGTTCTATTCTGTCCTGTTCTATTCTTTCCTGTTCTATTCTGTTGTGTTTTACCTGTTCTATTCTGTTCAGTTCTATTCTGTCCTGTTCTGCTCTATTCTGTTCTGTTCTATTCTATTTTATTCTATTCCATTCCATTCTGTTCTGTTCTGTTCTGTTCTGTTCTCTTTAAGAACATATAGTACCAATGATATTTTCCCGGACTTCCATATCTCATAAATGACACACACTGAGCTTTGTGTTCTTCTCTGGTTTTCCCCGGGGTATCGTGCGGACCCTTCAGGCCGCTCTGCCCCCCCCCCGTCTCAAGGAGCCCTGCATTGTTAGGGATACATACAGGACCGTACCAAGTGCGGCAGAGACCGGGGGTGTATTGATTAGTCCGGCAGTTCTGTGGGTAGACAGCCCCTGTCTGTCTGTCTGACCATGCACCTGGAGCCCGAGGCCCGGCCCGCAGCACAACCGCGTTCTGTTCACAGGCTGGTCCCGGAGGTTGTTGGTGAAACCCCGCTGGAGTGCCGCTGGGCAGGCTGATAGGAGAGGGAGAGGAGGAGAGACAATACGTGCAGGGCTCAGCGGGCGGACAGCCATTGCTTTTTGCTCTCGCTGCTAATAAAGAAGAAAGCAGCGTCTCGGCTGTGTATCACCGGAACAACAGACAGCCCGGCGGAGGCAACCCCGCACCGAGACCCGCCTGGACCCGCTCTATTGTCTTCGATCGTGTGGATTTTCTGGGAAGATGTCTTATGTGACTGCGCTGTTGTTGCTGCCAGTCCTGTGTGGCAGCATCAGCACCTCCAGCGCTGCAGCCTCAGCATCCCGTAAGTAGGCTAATAAACACACACGAGCGCGCGCGAGCGCGCGCGCACACACACACACACACACACACACACGCACACACACATGCACAAACACACATGCACACACACACACACACACGCACATACTAGCAACCATGGCTAATTTGGTGGCTTGCTCTCTGTGCAGTCAGGGATGTGGACTACAGTCAGGACTCATGGGGCCAGAGTACCAGCATATAAACAGCAGGGCTGGGGATCATACAGTGCTGTAATGATAACACACACACACACACACATACACACACACACTGTCATCATCAGGACTTCTGAGGAGGAACACATGAACTCTGTGTGTTTATGAAGCCTTCAGTCTTAGTCCTGAACCTCCAGCAGACCACAACAGTTCAGAGTCAGTGTCTCAGTAACATATGAAATCTGTGCAAACCCCCAGAATGACCATTTCCTTCATCTGTGTTCCACAAATACAAGGAGCCTCTCACACAATATTTCCCAATTTCTTTATCTAGCAGCTCTAATACATGGTCTATAACACTGTAGTTCAGTTGTAAGCAGTGTTTATGAATGTACTTGTTGGCCTTGATAACGCAGTTGACCTGGTAACAGCTGGCACCACACATGTGAAATTCCCACTAAATAAACCTTGAGGTGAGGCTGTTTTCTAAACAGAATAAATCAGTTATAATTACATATAATAACATATAATGATATGCTATTCCACGGGACCAGTGTGTTATAAAGTGTGTGGGTCGTTCACAGGCACTTTAAAGTTGTTAAAACTAACACGTAACACTGTGTTATCAACATTCATTAACTGTTTATTCACCAGTTATTCATGTTTCATGGGTTCAGTCATTGTTGTTGAAATACACATAAAAACACCTGAAAATGTGTTTATGTCTGCATACAACCAGCCTGTGTTATAATGTGTTATGATCCATTACATAGGCTACTGCTGAGAAATGATGACCCTGATGATGTCATCAAGGTATTCTGGGTTATTTTGGCTTGAGAAACTTTTAAAAGAGAGCCTGCTGTGTCTTTAAAATAAACTAAGATAAGAAATTAAATTCATTGAAAGGGCATGGAAGATACTGTTGAGATGCATTATGGATATTGAAGGATCTAAGCTACAATTAGGAGCTGTTAATTAGCTTTCAATTTAAATATTATGGAGCCTTTTCTCTCCTACTCGCTGTTCCACCAGCTGCCGTATGCACTCGAATACTAGTGACCGATTGTGCTGTGCACAAAAGACACAGTCCCTCTAACTTTTTAGATATCAGAGTCTTGACAGTCAAATAAATCACTATTGGCTGAAAATAAGAAAACACGGTACCACCTCAGAGTCAGATAACAACGCTGACATCAATTTAATCTGTGTGTGTCCAGAGTGTGTCTGTGGTTGTTTTTAGTGTAGCATAGCACAAAGCACACAGAGTTCACAGTTGTCTTATTTACACCTCTGTATCTGACACATGTAGAAATAAAAACACAACTGTGTGATTTAATGCGACCCCTGGTTTAGGTGCAGTTAGCAACTATAGACTGTATATAAAGATGGGTGTAGCCTCAGTGACCTCAACCATAGGCTCTTGAAGAGTGAGCTGCTCCACCGTTGCCACTTAATCCAAAAATGGGCAAAGAGGAGTGATGTGTGTGGAGCTGAAACTTTGGTGCATGGTGGTTTAATAAGTCTGGCAAGCACACGCTCCAGTTAGCATCATTAGCATAGCTGGCCGTCTTGCTCAAAGGCTCATTTGCTGGCTAATTAGCTAGTTAACAAGCTAAGATAACAAGTTAGGTAAAGTGAGCACAGACACCAATACCTGCTAATTAGTACTAACATATAAATAAAATAATAGTAGAACTTAACAAAAACAGGAGCACAGACTTTCTCATGTTCTGTTGGTCAATTAACCAACAAGTCAAATTATCTGTCCGATATTTACATGAAGAAATCATCCAGAAGAATCAGCACCACAAACACAGAGAGCTCACGTTCAATGACTCCAATTAACTGAGGTGACACCGAGCAGACAGCTAGCAACTAGCTAACTGTGAGGCAACCTCCTCTTCAAGAGGCTACGCCCTCAGTTCTCCATAACTTTAAGCCTTAATAAAATGTAAACAGGTGAGTTGTATAGACAGTTGTCATGAAGGAGGAAATTAGCTCTAGAGACCAAAACAGTTTTTGTACCAGGCTGTAAACATGTTTAGTTCTGCTGTAAAGTTGGACATTTTAACATGGGAGTCTATGGGGATTGACTCACTGTTGGAGCCAGACTCTAGTGGTCATTAGAGGAACTGCAGCTTTTAGTTTCTTCAGTGTTGGCTTCATGTTTCAGCCTCGGACTTTGATGCTTGTTTACAACGTGCAGCATCTCACAAGTCGTTCCTCACAGAGAGGATTCACTGACTGTTGAAAGGCACTTGGTTACTTGGTATCTTTCTATCCATCTGTTTTGAAATTTAAACCGAAAAAGTCAAAATATTGCTAAAAAGGTTTTACATATGAGCTGGTGGAAAAGTTGTCATGTTTTTGTTTTGGATAAGCACTAATTAAATGATTTATCAGAGCTGCTGGTGTTTGAATCTTCTCTCATGAAGGTAACTCATGGGAACATCCACTCATTTGTCAGTTAGTTTGCTAGGACTACTGAATATTACTTAAAATTGTCCTGAAAATGATCAGCGTTGACAGAGGGAGGACAGCTACAGTTGGATTATTATATTGACAGTTGCTGCCCAGTTGTCCCAGGTTGGAGGGCTCACAGCCATTTTTACATGATGGCTTTCTTGTTTGCCGCCAAAACTAAAAAGGATTCATCCTGTGCCATCAGTTTATCTGGGATTTCTCCCAAGTATAATGACAAAGGAGCAGTCAGTGTCTGTTCCAAATATTTAATGACCTTTGTAGCTCTCTCTTGACTATAGGATGTATTTGATGGAGAAAAAAAATTCTAATGACCTGCCATTTATTAACTTAGTTTGGTTTGTTTGTAAGAGCACTGGTGTATAAATTTCAACTTAAGGTTCACAAGGTTTTAGATTATGTACTTCCAACAGTTGCTCTATCTAATGTTGTGTGTCTCTGTCTTTGTTTTTTCTATCACCTTTGCAGGTCTCAGTTATAGTCAGAGATCTTTAAGCTGACCCTGTGCCTCTCAAAGGGATATTAACAGACTCTCCCTTTGCTGTCAGAACCTCACATCCCTCTTTTCTCCTCCCCTCTCCTCGTATCCATGTGTCCTGGAAAGAGCGCAGTTTGTTTTTGAGTTTCCACTTTTGTAGAATTCATTGTCCTCAGTAGCCTCCTACAAATGTAATTAGACGTGTGCTCAAAATTTTATTTACCAATTTAATGTCATTAGAACTGGGTCCAGGGCTGTTTTCCATCCCAGACCTTATTGAATTGTTGTTTTTCTTTATCAGTTTTGTGAACAGCAGATGGCTTTTGTTTTAAGAAACTCAGCACTTCTCTGCTTCTCTCACTGGGCGTCTTCACAGACCAGCTGGTCAGTGCTTTATATACAGTAGGTGTAGTGATGCTGGAGTGCACTGTAACAATGCTTTGCCACCTTTTCTTTTATCCAAGTGAGGAAACAGAATATTCTCAGTTCACACAATCCAGTTGAAATTCGTATACATTTTTTCAGAACAGCTTGCTGCTGGAAATGAAAGGTAGTTTAAGTACATTTTCATAGGCAAGCCTATTAAATGAATTTCATCTCTGCCTGCACTGCAACCAGGGCTGTCTGTAACTTTTTTGGGGCCCTATGCAAACTCTTGTTTGAGTACGCACCAAATCTGCATCATATTCCTTATACGTACAAATATGACCAAATGCTTCTTTTTACTCATAAAATTTGATGAAAACAACGTGTCCTAAATGTCGGTTTTGAAGAGATATTTACAAAGCATTTTCTTCAAACTTGAGTAAAAACATTACAACATCAATTATTACTGTAAATACACATACACATATCAACCCCCTTAAAAACTGATTGCAGCTATTGAGGTAATGCTTTTCTCTGCATCCTTACCAATAAGGCCTTGGTCGTTATGGTTACGGAGGATAGAAGTGGCTCCATCTGGACACTATCAGTCTAATAGAACTGAAACTTACCAGCGAAGAAGTGCTTACATAACCTCTCAAACAAGCCACAACTATTTGTAAATTTTACTATTGCTAAATAGCTGACCTTAGCATTAACGTACAGGTTACGTCAGACTTGTTAATGGACAGTTAAGATGTCACTCACTCACTCGCTCTCAAGCCACTCGGACATGTCCATTGTCAAGAGGTCAACACCCTTTACTCCCTGCACAGAACTTGTTGTCTAAAGGAGCTTTATGTAAATTTTGTTATTGCTACATAGCTTACGTCAGCATTAACAGCTGTTTACTTAACAGCCTTGTCAAGAGCTTCAGCTATCATTGTGTTTATAAGACCAGATTTCATAATACGTCCTCTGAGTAGCTGATTCTTTAGGACAGACCGGAGGCTACAGTGACTTGGTATCGGAAAGTGACAAGACAGAAGCTAGCTGGTTAGCATGCTAACTTCAGTAGAAGAGAGATATGATAGAGACAAGAGTTAACATTGGTATTTGTTTCCACCTCTGGAGACAGCTGTTAGTTTGTAAAGGAATGAAGTTTGATGCTGAATTCACAACATTTCTTCTAGACTGGTAAGTAAAAGCTGCTAATGCTAACGTTGGCTATGTAGCAACAGCAAGAACTTACGACTAGCTCCTTTAACCTTTTACATGCTGTGCACTGTGGTACTTAAACAAATAGCACTACATGTCTGGTTCTTTAGGGGTTGAGCAACACACACAGTACAGACATGTCATTCTACTTACTGTTTTTATTCAACAAACAACCATTTTAAAAATGTACGATGTTTCCCTAAACTTTTAAAACTTTTCCTCAGAGGTACCACCATAAAAAAAATAGACTAAAGACTGCGTTTTTGCCAGGTTTGCTTGAAGATGTTTCTCACATTCAGACTGCAATTGGTCTCAACACAGTGTAAAAATTAAAGTCTAAAGAAAGACAGAGAGGGGCATCAGAGGGGCATCTGTAGACCAGGGAGGTCGTTGCGGTAGGAAATGTTAGGGAACACTGTAAGAAACTGAAAACCCTGACTTGGTACTAAATCCTCTTTTACACAGGATCCAGGTGACACATCCTCAGGCCTTATCAGGACAGTGAGCAGAATCATCTGCACTGAAACAGACGGTGTAGCATAAAATGTTGCTCAGAATACAAACTGGATAACTGGAGTGCTGTCACTCTCTGTATACACTCCAACTGATGCTGCCTGTTTTAGGGCTCCCATTTCATGTTTGCGTACTACAGTGAAACGGGATCATGTTGAACAGTTGTTGAAGTTTGTGAGTTCATTTGAATGTGTCACAGTGTGGTACAGTTACTGGCAGTGGTGGAGTATTGACATGACTGCTGACTTTCAGTTGTTACAGACCAAAATAGTAACTTAACCAAGTGAAACAATGTTACCGGTAAATGAGAGTAGAACTCAAAGTGTGCCATGACAAGCAGCACAATAGGAAAAAATTGACTGACAAATGAGCCTCACTGGGTAAAAGCTGGCTGCTTCTTCCTCTCACTTCCTGCTGGAAACTTTCTGTCTTGACTGCAGCTTTCTGTCACTTCCTGCTGCAGTTTCC